TACATATGTGAAAGTGATGCTGCAACAACAGGTCAATAAACTGCAGCAAAGAAAGGATTAGATCAATCCAGATCCATTAACATGAGTCAGTGGCACTCGGGGGACATTTCTACAAGATGTTTTCTCAACCTTCAAAACACATTTTTAAAAGCTATTCTCCCAACAGCCTGACAATCGTTTAGTTCAGTCAACTCACCATTAAGCCATGATGTGGAGTACTCTGTCCTCAGCAGAGACTCGGTTGGGGAGTATCTGGATATAATCGGTTCACTGCCTAAGAAATTATAAGCTGTCCCCGAGTACAGCACTCCATCTGATAGGAAAACAGAGAATAAAACATCAGAAAATTATTTTCCTTCTCTAAAAAAACCCAAAACAAAACAAAGGGGATTGTTATGAATTTCACTGCAGCCATAACCAAAATAAGCACTTTATGAAATGAGATGAGAGAAGAGCTGGCCTCAACTCACCAGCCATGACAGTAGTAAAGCTTTGCGAGGGGTCAAAGGAGCACTTCCCTCTGCCGTCCTCGGGTTTACCGTGAAGTGAGAAGTTGCCAAAGTACTGAAAGAGGAGATTACTTATGAGATGAGGCGGCGGTGTTAATAAGTGAGTTTAAACAGTGAAGTACGGCGTCTGGGTAAAGAGCGGTTGAAAATTAACCTACCAAGTAATCACACTGAGGCTGAAAGGCGTGTGTGCCGCAGACATACAGCCGCGTGTCATCTACTGCTTGGAGCACTCGAATGTAGTTTAGACACTCCCTCTGAAAGGAGAGGGAACAAAACAAAAGGAGAATTATGACCTTGTGGTTACAGTTCGCCCGTCTAGACTTAATGTTAGACATTTTCAAAATTAAATTACATAACTTCAGTTATTTAATTTTGTCTTTTTCTTTGTCATCAGAGTATACATTTTTGAACCGTCACCAAACCAGTGTTTGGGAGGTCACACTGATCTTCGGTTGCCAAATTCTAATCAGACGGACAGAGCAGCATCCATGCATGCATCCCAGCATGTAAGAGCTGTTAAACTAACCTCTTTTGATTTTCCTTTCAGCGTGCACATATTCATAGATTTTTCTGTAACTGGCCACTGAACCTTAAACAAACAGGAATAAAGTAAAAAAATATTATAATCCAGATTATTTAAAACATCCCTCCACATGCATTACCATGAATCTTTTAAGATTTAACTACCTTCTTGTTTCTGACGCTCACATTCTTCTTGCTGAGCTCAAAGATGGCCTCCCTTGCTCCCACATACAGCGCATCCCTTTCTTCACTCAGCAGTAATGTGGAGTAGTTGAAGATGCCCGGCTCTGAAAACTCCATCAGATCTAAATCTAGCAGAAAAAAGAAAAAAATCATCATAAACCATTTTTTTTACTCAATAACATCTGTATTTAACTGTAGTCAGAATTTAATTTACAGCTGATATGGCTGATATGTTGAAATGAGCATGTGTACAGTAGAACTAGCTGCTTTGAGATATGGACCCACGCACAGGCAAATAAATATTAACCAAGCCACAACAGTTTCAGCTTTCACATTCAGTCACAAGGGACAAAGTGCTAATACCCACTGTACACTGCTCTGTTTAAATTAGTGACTAGTAGGTGAACACGGTCGAGCATTAAGTAGCTGAAGAGCGAGACGTTTCTTTGAAGGTGGAGCTAAACGGAGATCAAATGGACTTTTACTCATCGTGGACCCAGACACACGACTTTAGGTACATTGTTGCTGGACATTATCATTCTCTAAAACTGTCAGCGTTGTGTTTATGGTGTTTCTGTGGCCAAAAACACTTAAAAACAGCTTTAAGCTTCACTGCAATAAGCTCCTTATTTTGATTCTTGGGCTCTACTACAGTAGCTTTGCATGACTCACAGTGCAAACTAATCTTCGTTCAGTTTAAACTGTATTAGTGGAGCCTTTCAGTTCATCAACTATCTGAAACAAGTCACTTTAAGCTCCTCCTTCTTTAGGCCAATTTTCTTCAGATTGGCTGCCCAATTAGAACAGCATGTGGCTGGCACTGCTGTGCTCACAGCCAGAACTGGTCATATTAAGCACAGATGAGATCCAAGAGAATAAAATCCTATGTGAAACCAAGCATTCATGAAGCAGTAAGTGAATAAAGCTCACTACATTTTTTACTTTATTTTATGATTCCCAAAATTTTAGAACTAGGCCAGGTCGCACACCCAGGCTTGTGTAGCTGTACTGAGCGAGGTTGTTTTCTCCCCGTCCTAATAGCTGAGAGGTTTGCTGGATGAGGACCTGGAACAAAACAGTGCGCTGTCTATTTGCAGTTTATGCATCAGAAGGTGTTCAATAAACCAAACGTTTCAGACCCGGTTTTGAGAGATACTCGAAACCGTGTGAAACTAAGGTGAAACTAAGATAACAAATACTGGAAACATTGGAAAGTCCGGTTGCTCTTTATTGCGTCATTGGCTGTTTTTGTGCACAGCTGTGCATTCTTTAGCCAGCTGAGTGAAACTAGGTTTGCAGGAATAATCGGGAATTATATGCATCCACACACACAGGAGAATAAGGCAACACACTTTAATACACTTTAAAGGGACTCAAGTGTACACATGTAAGCAGGAACATTAACCAATGACAGATAATGAGGCCAGCAGAACACTATTTTCTGTGCTGTAACCGACCAAGTTGCATCAGTTCAGTCAGCAACGACAAGTGAGGCTAACAAAAGGTTTTAAAAAGGATGAAAGGAAGGATCCATGGATGTATGTATGGGCATTCTAGCTGGAGATACTGGCAAGACAAGTCCCTTGTATCTTGAAAAAAGGCCAAAACAAAAAGGGAAGTCAAATTTTCTGTTACAGAGTCATCAGGACACATCAGCGTTTACAGTGTGGTCAAAAAAGCCCCAGACCACCTCGTAAGCAATTTTTGTGATCGCATTTCAGTGCATCCCTACAGCCGCTTAGCACTTATAATCACATCTTAGAGTCACACTTTTGTGCATCTCTGGGTACTCTGCATTAACATTATATAAATGAAAACTCTCATTACACTTTGCGTTGTGATTGATGGGAAAACCTGGGGGGAAGAGTTTGTGTTTGGATGGTTGTGCCAGGTGCAAGTGGGCTCAGGTTGCAGGTGCCAGGTCATAAACACTGCCACCATGAAAGCAAATACCCTCACTGACTGACTGAAACAGTGACTGTGACCCAGCGAATTGAGAAACATGGTTAAAGGGTGAGCCGCACTTGTTCTCTTGCAGAGACAGAGTTACTTGAAGCTATTTCTGTAAACGGCAGCTTGCAAACAGCTTCTGCCTGACACACACACACACACACACACACACACACACACACACACACACACACACACACACACACACACACACAAAAAGGGATCCAACTTGAGGGTCTGTGGTGAGGTTGTCTCAAGGTAAAATTAGGCGACAGGTGTTGACGTCTTTGCTTCACAGTAGATTGCTAAGCTATAACAGAGCTGTGATATATTAGAAAGTAATACAGAGAGTGCAGTTTGAGTTCACCAAGCACTGAAGTGAATGATCTTTATCACGTATTCGTGTTTCAGACTAACAAGCATTATATTCTTACATTCTCTGATTCTATCATAATAACCAGCCAGCGGCATGTTATTTCACGCCTTACCTTGATGTCTCCAGGAAGTGCGAGGCACACCGTGGGGCCCGTGTGTGGAAACCTCCAGGAGCAGCCCCAGAAACACCCCCAGCACGCCAAAGCCCATATTAGACTCTGATAACTTTGGAACTGTGAAGTTTCCTCTGCAGGGACACACAAAGACAGCGAGTAAAGCCACGCGCAAAAACCCGTTCTGACAAAGCATTTCATCACATGCCACAGACAGATCGTATCAAGCAGCACAGATGCTAAAAGGGAACAGGTGTCAACTCTAGTTCCCTCCCGCTAAGCTAGCAGGGTTCATCCTCACACACAACACAAGCACACAAACAAATCAGAAATCAAAAATCAACTTTGACAAAATGATTCGATCACTTGTTGGCAAATAGTTGCAGCACTTGAAAGACTTTTTTGTGCGGTTAAATAAAGAAGAACAACAAATGTGAAGTTGAATGAGCTATCAGAGGAGTCAGTGAGGAGGAGACAGAATGAAGAGGCTGCACACGATCTAATATGACTTACAGTAACAGAAAAGTTTGTTGTTGTCGTTTTAAAAATAAGCACAAAACCACAGACACACACACCCTATCCGGAAGATTAAGGAAGAATGCAGTGTGAGATTTGGTGTGAATTACAGTTTGACATTTTCATTTGTTGTTGTGCGCAGACGGACGTGCCATCCTGCACCGCGTTATTGTTGAAGACTCAGACAGGTGTATCCGCTTGCCTCGGGCGATGATGATGATGAGGAGGAGGAGGACGACAATGACCAGACTGATGACAGCATTCCTGGCAGCTACCAGCTCTTATCAGATCCGGATGTTCTTTTCCATTTGTCAATTTGGAGATCGCTGTGATCAGTCTTCCTCCTAACAGCTCAGGCCTGCTGCTTTCACCTCAGGATGAGCCTGATAAAGCCTCCATTAAGCTGCTCTGTGTGCCATTTACGTAAATGTAAACGTCTCCAGGCCTGTCTCAGGTGGCTGACACTGTCACATGACATAAAGCCAAACAAATCATATTTTTGTGTGCAGCTCTGAGCTTTGAAAGTCACACATTGCCGCCGCTTCTCTTCCTTGAAATGCTGTGTCATGTTAGCATAACGAATAATACTCTGGTGTGTTCAGTCTTTTTGTTGGGATTCTTCCTTCAAATCTGAAATGGTTAATATCCTACAGTTCAACAAACCCACATTTCAAAGTTGGCAGTTTTAGGTCAGCAGCAAAGCTGGGGTAAAAAAGCAAAGCTTTAAAGCTTAAGTAAAATATTAAAATAAATCTCTAAATCTGTTCTCAATCCTGCTTGTAAAACACGCAGCGATTGCCAAATTTACTGCTCTGCAGGGGACAAAACGAAAAAAAAAAAAGCAAGATTTGAGGTCAATATTATGACTGCCAACCAAACTCTTTCTGACATGAACGGAAGCTGGTTTACCTGATTTTATTTTATAAATATTAACACGGAAACAACATTACCTCTCAAAGTGATTAACGGACATAATGCAATTGCAAAGCTCAAGCACCGGAGCCCTGTTGGCGGTTGGGCGCGTGCAACTCGCTTTGTCTCACTCATTTAACCCTTCTTTTACATAATTGGAGCAGACTGCTTACTGAGGCCTGCATTCCCTGTGTTATGTTCAACTAAAGCCAGTATTGTTGTAGTAAACAGGAAGCAGGTGGGTCAGGTGCTTTGCACAGTCGTCTCCTACGGAAGCGTATTGATCACAAAGCCGGTTTTTCTGGTTTGCACAACGGCACGATGAATGAAGTGGAAGCACCCATACAACACCGCAACAAACAAACCAAAACCAAAATAAAAAAAACGGGTGGAGTAGTCACGCATGGAATGCGATTAAGGGTTATCAGATGCCTCGTAAGATAAGGATTAAATTTCAGGTGAATACCCACAAGGCGCCACTTTGAGCAAAATGTGCATAAATGTTTTATTGGGTCGTTTGTCCTCATTTTAGACCTTTTAATTAAAATGATAGAACATCGTTTAAGCTCAAAGAACAGATAAATCACTGTCAACTACCTTTTAATGACCTACAAGCACCATTATGTCACATTCAACTCAAATATAGGTTAGTAATTAGTTATTCGGGGGAGGGGGTGATGCATCATACAGCAGCACATACAGCCAATCAATGGAGCCCACCCCCAGCTGCAGAAAAAGAGGCAGGATAATAACTGATTATTGATTTGGTTTTAAATGAGAACAAATGGCCCCAGAGGCCATGGCCCTCTTAATAATAGGTCCCCCCCCGGGGGGAAGGTTTCCACCAACCTAATCTGGCAAAGATGGAATTCCATCCCGGCTTCAGGCATAGCCATGGACTCCACTCTGCTAAAGAGGGGGTCAAATACACAAGGACCTATTGTTTACTGAAGATGAGAGTAGCCTCCACTCTACTCCCACTCCACCACCCCCATCACATCCACATCATCACTGCAGAGCAGCCAACAATGAACAGTGAGAGAGAGAGACATCACTTCTCCCTCTCATCCCAGTCTTCTACAGCCTTGCCAATGTCTAAATGCCAGGGCAGCTTACCCACGAGGAAAGCCCAGAGCCAAACTAGTGTTTTCAAAGATCACACAAGCTCAGGAGCTCTGGATGCATCCCATTAAGATAACACAAACTGCTGGATGAGCGCAGCTGAGACTGTCTATGTTCGACCAAAAAGGACGGACATAACAACAGTGTGAAAGGACGAGATAACAATGCTTAATCTATGCTGAAGACCCCAGGCACGCTGAATTTTTGGTTTTTGTGCCTTTGAAAGATATCCTCTCATACCAAATTCCATAAATGAAAGCCTCCAAATACGTTCAATGCTCCATCTGTGCATTCCCGATGCCGCCCATCACTATTCCGAGTCAAAGGCAAAGTTTAAGCTTCAAAACCCTCTGAGAGTCAGTGTTACAGTAGCAGAAAGCGCATACTGGCAGCTACTCTCTCCTGCTTTGAGATTTAGAGGAGTGGCCATACTGGCCGGGGATATTTAAGACGGTTACCATGCTGGCAAGTCTCTTTGAGGCCTTTGTGTTCCCCTCTCAGCTCCTTTGGCTGGGCAGGGAGGTTGACACCTGCTTGGGGCCTTGGGGTTCCCAGCACTGTGCTGTTAAATGGGCACTAATATTGGCAGGCGGCCCACTGAGAACAGAGAGGCAGAAACAGAAGCTGAGCATATTCTGCAGTGTGAACTTTGAATGTCTGAGCAAAAGTAAAAGGAGAAGAAATAACAAATTAAAGTCAGTTTAAATGAAAGTAAAATGTATGTTTGCACTTCTTTTAAAGGACCAAAGATGTGTAATCTTATTTAGCTGATTTATTCTGTTTCTTATTTTGCTTAACCCAATCACTTGAGGAAAACAAGCTGCAAGTTTTTGTTTTTTAATTTGTGTGTTTAAAGTGAACATTTTTAAAAACTGCAGTTCCTCAAAGAGCCACTCGAACACTGCTGCAGTAGTGAGTCAATCTCTATACACTCCAATGTTAAAGTAGTCAACATTTTTTGTCTGTAGAGCAACTTTTTGCATTGACAAAAAGTAATGCATGTAGACGTCCGCTATCAATGGGTATGTTAACAGAAGAAAATTTTTTTACTGCCATAGTTTTGTGAGTTACTCACTCAGTGATTGTGAGCGATAGATTCTGTTGTGATCCGTGTCTGAGGTGGAGCTGAGTCAGCAAAGACCCCGACTCATCCTTCGTGATCGATTTGGAAGAACAGGCTGACATCTAACTCTCTAATGAAACGGTAGGCCGACTTGTCACGTAGCCACACATGGCAGCTTTGCCACTTGCCGCTTCATTTCCAATGCAGAGAGTGCAGACAAGAGGCTCCGCATCCTGTGAGCAGAGAGTGGGGCAAAGATTCAGAGCGCAGTCGAGGGTGACGTGAGGGAATTGGACATTCAGTGCCTGCCAACAGCTCCAACTCCTCACTTCTTTTTCCCCTCTTTGCTGGATCTATTTCCATGCACTCACCCATCATCAGCATCAATGCACAGAGATGCTCTTCTTCCTTTGCCGCAGGACATCAAGAGCCTGCAACTCATTTTTTTCTGCTCCGTTTGATGCCATTACACCAATGTGCCTAACCACGCACAAAAACTGTGTAATGGGAAATGTGCTCTAAGTAGCTCATTTTGTGGGGAGAATGTCTTTTTTCAGGATTCAGTATAACGCCCCATCTCACAACAGTAAAGAATCCTTCCAATAATTTCCGGACCCAGAACACTTCTAGCACGGGCCAATCTCCAACTCCAATACTCAAAAAGCTGTGGACTCCAGTCCACAACTTTTCGAGTAATGCCACTAACAGACAGTGAAACAAACAGAACAAACCAATCACAAACCCTTCTTGGCAGACGTAATCAGCAGAACCATCTGTACAGTATCCACCCAGCTGTGGGAATAATGATAACGCAGCACTAAGAGTGCATGATAACGAGGCAGCTTTGCACAGGGCTTGCTAATAGACCTGCCCTATCATTTTATGTCATCTAGCAACAATGGGATGATCGTAGAAGAGAAGTTATTGTGCATTGTTGGGAGGATGACCTCATTAAAGCAATGGGTGATGTCTTCAACAAGTCACAGTTCTCACAATTTGCATTCCAATCTTTCGTCATTTTTTAGATTAAACCGCATCGGTGACCTATCAGCTCACCACGCATTATCCTTCACATATTATTGCACATGAAATGACTAATGTGACCTTGACCTTAAGCTTGAGCGAAGAACCATTAAATTATCACTGCGTGCAAGTTTGATTAAAGTCTGATCAATACTGCAGGAGAAGTAGTGAGTCTTTAAACCTCTTTTTTTGGTTCCAGCAAGAAAAATGTAAAAAATTGTTTCTCTTCTTCTCCTCTTTCAAAACCATCTGGTTTTCTTTATGGCCGAGGTATAACTTCAGCTGTATGTTGTCGTGCTATTGTGAAACATATTTGTATTTAAAAAAAATAAAAAATAAGCCAGAGGTCTTGTATTTGAAACAAAATACAGAGACCACAGAGGATGACACACTGATGGGGACAGACGTCTGCTTCAATGTCATTTACAGATTAAAAGGAGTTTAGCAATAGATGTGGCAGAAACACGAGCTTGCTCACATGCACACATGATAATGCCA